TGAGTTTGAGTTTGAGTTTGAGTTTATCAAGAACAATCATCTTCAGGTTGCGCAATTCCGAAACGACAAACGCAATAAATAAAAATAGCAGCCGAGTTAAACTAAAATCTTGAATCAATAAAATGCCGTACATTTGTATGTCAGCGCGGGATTGAGCTCAAACTTGGTAAGTAGGTTCGAAACTCCGTCGGTGCCAATAAAACTTGCCTACTAATCTCAGACACGACTCGAATTTTCGTCTCTCCAAACCCATCGGCTTGATGAGAATTTAGTTTGATCTAATTTTGTTATTAATTTAAGGTGTGTTTACATGCGTTATTAAATACATTTATTAAAAAATCTTTTAAAAAAGCTTTTAATTTGTTGATAACTGAATTTATATTTTTCAAATTGTAGGAAATCATTTGAGTTTTTAAGTAACAATTAATACTTCAACGTTTTATTACTTATGTTTTTTTTTATTCGAATATCTGGATCCGTTAAGACATGTCGGGGCCTCCGAAGGGCCTTTTTTGTCAGGAAGGGATAATAGTTGTTACACACCAACGGGTTGGGATGGTGTTTGGCCTTGTGGAAGTGGCGTGTGGACGCCAACATCCAGGTCGTGACGGTAGCTTTTAATTTAGTTTAGATATTATTATTTATACTACTAAATCTAGCCTCTTGCTAGTACGCATCGTTTTTGCGTTTGTGTGATACCTAGATCTTGTAGATTAACAACAAAAAAATCATACTCTATACGTTAAGAATTTCGATTCAATCTCAAATCGATAGTCTGTAATTAGTGCTAATTATACTTAATCAGACATAGCAGGTTCACACCTAGATCACAAGTCAGTGCCCTAATTAATGCTGACTGTGTTAGCTAATGTACTGGTACGTGAACTGATTTTGAATCGATTCGTCTGGGTCCGTCAATGTTAATACATACTATGCAAGTAGTCCTTGCCCGGGTCTATTTGCTTGATTAAAATTATGACAGCATAAATTTCCTTATATAGCTTTGAACAAATTCAATATGTATTAAAAGATTTTTACAACTACGTACGCGTAAAATGCGAAGATCATGACCGAACTTGATGGACGCCCTCGGCCCTGCGGGGGTAATAGGACATTAAGTCAAAGATGAGCTCTAAGGATTTTCAGCATTCCTGCAATTTATACTATCCAAAATCAAGCACATTAAAATATACTTTCAGATATATTATATCATAGATAACTCAAAGAACACTCGATTTCCCCTAGATCCTGCCCGGATCCTTACTGATTATAATAAGATTATTAAAACGTCTTAAACAAAAAAATCTAAATCGTATCAGGTGTTCTAATAGAAAATCTAAAAATTTATTAATATGTATATTGTATACCTACTTATAGAGTTAAAAAAACATTAAATCGGGGCATCCCAAAAGCTTTGTAGCTATAATTAAAGAACAGACAATCGCAGTCAAATTGTACACTGACAGGCATGTGATTCAGCTATACGTCAATTTAATCGCGTATAAGTTCAAAGAGAAATTATTAAGCACATCAAGAGGTCTCTTATAATATAAGAACCTCATAAATTCTCCAACGCATTATTAACTTGCGCGGTAATTTGACAGGTGCTTTCCATAATTCAAGGGACCTTTTAAAAATTGCAGAAGATCATGTGTTTAACTCGATTTATGGTAAATTATTTTCTGATATGCTAAATGACCCGGAGGGCACGATTTGTGAGCTTACATTATAAAGAATTTCTTTTACGTAATTTATACCAATCACGTTGTTTTGTCTGATAACTTATACATATTGCATTCATTCAAATATACCTTTTAAATGAAAAAAACAGTACCTGCAACCTTTTAAGGTATAGGGCCTAAGATTTTAAATCTATTTCGTGATCATTTGTTTTTTCTAATACGCAAGTATGTGATCAGCTTTAACTAAGGCATGCCGGTTTCATCACGATGTTTTCTTTCACCGTTCGAGCCAGTGTGAAATACGCACAAAGTACGAATGTCCATTGGTGCACAGCCGGTGTTTGAACCTACGATTGCAGTAATGAGAGTCCCTGAAACTACTAGGCCAACACTGCCCCTGATGTTACTTACCTTATCTTAGAATACACCGTGATGATTACATATTTTTTTTAAACAGACGCAACCTTTTTTACGACCATATTTACGATAAATAAAGAATTACTAATATAAATGTGTGCTGGAAAATTCTTTATAAGTCAACAAAAGCCGAACTCATAAAGGCTATCAAGGTAACCAATAAGTTCAAAACAATATAATTAAAACTTTTTTAATTTTCTTCAGTATCGCAAACTCGTGTTCAAAGCTTTATTTCCTCCGTATTAAATAGGTATATTATTACTTACGCCTATGTAGAGGACATATTAAGAAATATATTTTGGTTTATGCAAAAATTAAATTTTAATTAATTTAATATTTTGGATTAAACATGAACTATTTTCGAGTTTTGGGTAATTTTGGCTTGCATTGTGACTATTTAGAGTTTAGACAACATCCTGTAGAAGTACTAACTTAAATAAATCTGTCGCGTTATTTAAATCAGTACTTTTATACACACAATGTGCAAAAAAGTTATAGAATGTCTTTGATTTCAGCATATAAAGTCCGTAGATTTTTTTATTAATTCCTATACTTGCATCGTGTAACTTTCTATATTATAACTCATACAAAATACAAAATCATCTCACCAGTGCTATTTATATTTTAGAATATATTTTTTATTTGAATTTTTATAATTAAGCTACTGCAGGCATAATTCTACAAGACTAAATTAAGAGCTAATTTTCCCATTGGAATGACATACATCTTTTCTCATTTAATTTTAATTTTTTTAATTATACACATCTAATCTAATCGTAAAAATATAAATGATCCTTATCCTTGGGATTGATTTGCTACAGTTCAAACAATTTGTATCAATACTTGGCGATTAAAAAGAGTGGCGGAAAGTTTCTTGCCAGTTTTTCTTACCCGCTCTACGTCCTTGACTTGCGAACTGGTAGTAAATGTAAATTTACAATTAATTTAACTTCTTTCTGACAATTCATAAGAGTACTTGTTAACCTACATGAATAAAGATATTTGAGTTATATTATGTATATTATTGTGATATTATTATTATATATATATTATTATGATATTTGAGTTGAGTTTGAGTTTGAGTTATATTATGTCTAGCCATATTACCTAGTCTAAGATTCCTCAAGGGCACTAGATTCGCCTTTGATCTAAATACTCAAGTGCCAAATTGCACGTCGCTTAAACCACTTTACCATGTAAGGAGAGATTGATTTGAGCCGCGCGTATTCAGACTAACTATAGTTAAATACCTTCCATATTCCACTGAGGGATGCATTGGAACCTGTCTAAGCAGTTCCCGGTAGAAGTCAAAGCAACCGAAGCAATAATTGTTTGATGGAAACTCGGTACCATAGGTCTCTTAAGCCTGGAGTGGGTCCAAACGCAAAACTCCGTTGTTTTAATACATCTTGATAAATAAAGTATTATTAATTATTTGCCCCGATATTTATTGATGGCTAAAACCTTATCACTGGGGTTAAAGATATATCAGTTGTTAATGTATTGTTAAATACTACCTGAGGCGTCAGAAGTTCTCTTGTTTTTATTTTACAAAGAATAAACAAAACAAATAATACATGTCACTGAAATAATAATACCTTAGGGGATGATGGCCTATGTACAATCTTATAATCTCATTGAAAAGTGTACGTAAGTGAATTGAAATCTAAAGGGTATCTCGTCAATTTTTAAAACGTATCAGTGTGTAAATTTGCAATAATTTTTGCTTTATTTGTATTTAAGCGAAAACCGCAAACATGGATTTAACTGCGTAGTAAAAAAACAGGGTTTTTTTCTTAAATTACTTGTTGGTTGAACAAATTATGAAGTGAATTTATTTATGTGAGAATATGTAATAATCCATTTTAACATTTCAACGTGATAAATATGTTGACAAGAAATATATATATATATATATATATATATAAATAGAATCAAACGAATCCTATCAAAATAACCTAACACGACCAATCAACTATCAACACGTCATAATCATTAATATTCATTTCCGGATGATCCCAAATCGGAAACCGAAACAGTTTAATCCATTACGTATTCCAAATTCAAATCTTTAATTACATTTACATACGTTGATCAGTACTTTATTTTTGTAAGCGACTTAAAAATTTGACTTGAATGTATCTGATATTAATGAAATTGGACATTGTTTCATTATGATGATCTGCGTATTTCAGACTTTCAAGAACATGTTTGTTAACAATTTTCTCGGAATTTAAAAGATACATACATATATATTATCTAGATACAACATATCGAAGTGATCCGTGATTGAAATCATGTTTGGGATATACTTTGGGAGCAGTCCAAGTTTTAATGAAACCAGTTTAGTCGTATTATGAGGAGACAAGTATGAAATAGGTAGGTAAATAATGTTTTCAAGTACATATTTGTGTCTTAATATACTTCTAAGATATTCATGCCCCGCATATAAATACATTAAATTATATACTTGGCTAAACAAATAATAAACATTGTTATTAATACTTTTTAGTGCATTTTGGGAGTCTGTTCTATTTTTTAAGGAATTTTTTGAAAGTTAAAATGATACTAGTTTCCGTTTGTTTTAAATAAATTACGGAAGAAGATAATAAAGTAAATATGCGCGTAAAATTTGACCATTATTGTCAATGATTTATTTTGTATTTATTAAATTGTTTCAGACCATATCGAAACAAGTTAAAACGGTATATTTTATTTATGTGTACAAACCTATGTGTTTCTATTTTTTATGGATAAACAATTAAAAGTCAATAGTTGATTTAAGTATAATAGCTGATTTAAAGTACACAAAACTACAAGGATATATAATATGTTTTAAAAGTCGATGTTAAATAGTTAGTAACCTACTATTTAATTATTTTTATTTAAAAAATTAAAAATCTACCTGACTGTACTCTGATGTCCTTTTCTCTGCTCATTCCTTCTTCTTTTGCACTCACTTTCCACTTTTCTATCACTATTTTCACGTATCGTATGGTATCTTGGTTGATAACTTTCGAGTTGCGTAAACAAACGCGCGCGTGGCGCATCTGTCAAAACACGGTGCGACATAGCCTCCACACGTCTGTGTTCTCCGGCGTTTACAGCCGAACTGTCGACCCTTTCAGCCACCCCTGGTCTACGCTTTTCCTCAAAAGCCATCCGTGGAGGTCGAGGTTGCATCAAGCTTATTTTTTTCTTCTTTGCGGTGGAAGAAACGTAGGAAAAGTAACCGTTCTTATCCATTTTCGGGGTTGCTGCTTTGACCTGAAAATAATATGTTTGATTATAAACTGTAGGGTAAATATTCTGTCATTAGAAATTATATTTGAGCTCGTTGAACGTTGTAGCTTTTATGAATTTTGTAGTAGGTATACTCAACTCCCAAAAAGTTAGTTTACTACCATAGGACTTAGGTTATTTTTGTTTACGACTATATGTCCACTCTTAAACCTTAAGTGGTTATGATTTCAATATATATATTAAAATATTGACATATAATTAAGAAATCCTGCATGTATATAATACGCTATAGGTATAGACTTATGTAATAACACATGATACATACATATAAGTAGAGACGCATGAACTCTGTGCCTACTGACGTAAAATAATCACCCGGACTAAACATGTACTTCTATGTTATATCTTGTGATACTAACTAAGCTTATGTAATGTTTATCTCAATTATAGTTACTCATACAGTTTTTTAATTATTTGTTGTTGTATGTTGATTGAGTTCCATGCAAAACATTGTCGATCTAGTTAAATAATAAGAGTTAACCCAAAATAACAAAAATGCAGTACACAATGTCATACAGACTTATGAATTCCTTTGGATGTGTACAATCTGTATTCATTTTTGAAATTATAAGTCAATTAATCTCTTTAGTAATGAAAATGAAACAAAATATCTGACTTTAACATGCCAATAACAGTTGATATGAAAATCTTTTCAAACTCAATAAATGCTGAATATTCAGTTCATTTTCCATCAATTCCATTTTCAAGTTACAGTCGGCCGCCGTCAAAACAATGTCTATTTTATCTGTGACATGTACAAAGGTGCCAACGTCAGTTTTTATCGATACGACGAACTATTTTTATAGCCAGTCTCAAAATTTACTCCTTTGTACGCGTAAAAACATTTTTGTTACTAACATCGATTAAGAATTTTATAATTGTATGTTAAAGCATTTAAAGCATGGAAAGGACCAAAAGGAAGAAGGAGAAGAGGTCACCTAAAAAAACGTTGGATCGAAGAAATAGAAGCGGTAGCAGGAAACAAATGGAGAAAGAGAGCCATAGACAGAGTCAGTTGGAAAAAGCTGGAGGAGGCCTTTACCCGTGAAGGGGTTCCGATCGACGGTACTGAAGGAAGCTAGGATATAGGATAACAAGCAAAACAAAAAAAATTTAAAATTGTAAAATAATTTAAGGTGTGTATTATAATTTGTTATTTTGTCATGATTGGAAATACTCGTAAAACGGACTTTATTATTATTATGTTAAAGCATTATAAAGTTTTTTTCGATTTTGTGGTATTTTTAAACTCTAATTTACTCACTAAACTACTTTGACCATTATAAATAATATATGAGATAAATACCTTTAATATGACGGCTCCGGAGAACAAAATGATAACCGCTATTATCATAGTTTTAGTATTATTGCAAATTCAGGATCCTGAGGTGCTAATACATCTGCCCATTTTTTTTCAGATTTTTCTTTTGTTTACTTAAAAAGTTAGAAAAAGATATTATTTTATTCAACGATTTTTTTGGATCTAACAATATACGATAACATTGCTTTGCCAAAATATTTTTGATGACTACGCACAATGTCAGCTTTTATCTTAATATTCTAGTAAATAATACCTACCGCGTCTATGACAAACGCACTTATCATTTTATTCTAGTTCAAAATTAGCTGAGCTCGTTTGCTAATGCGATTTTAGCCAAACACATGGAATCGTACTGAACAACAAAGTATGTTGTTGTTTCTTTCCGCCGTGTTGATTGAGCTAATGTAAGAAAGGGATAGCACACACCGGCGCGTTCGCCGACAAGGGTTATTGTTTGTTTACTTTTTAAATCAGTATGATCTTATACGTCACTAAGCGAAGCGAGTTTTTGTTTTTGTGTTGGAATGATCGGAAATTAATGGAATGTGTTAATTCTATAGTGATATTAAATAGACTAGCAGTGTTTTTAAGATGAAGAGACTGAGGGCGGCCCGGTTAAATGCCATTATGGATAATATAGGAGAAATTATTCATCCAGAACCGGAAAAATGTCCCCAAGGTAAGTACCTACTTATTGTTTTGTGGCCAGCTGCTTCCCTACTAAGCTAACATAATATCGGAGTAATTATACAAGTTTTCTTTGCACGTATGGTTAATACATACCTAAGCAGTCTAAAAAATATTTGACTCCTACTGACAGCTGTTCATATGAACGTATTTTTGGGAGATATTATACTTATTGATTGCTATTTATATATATTTTTGCACGCATCTTTATAGTAACGAAATTGAAGTATTGCTTCTTTAGTATCCGTTTCTTTATTTTGATTACGTCTAGCAGGCAATATCACGATACATAAACCCTTCCCGGGCAGAACTTTATTACAATGCAATAAGTGTGAATTTTCAATAAAAATTTAAGGTTGTTCTGTCGCCTACCTAGTTGATTTTTGGTTTTAAACCGTATTCGTTGTCGTTAAGTAAAACGAAAATAATTTAGTCCTCAGTGGGCATCAGCAAGTATTTACATTTTAGGTTATTAATTTCAGGATTGCCGAACAAACATTACTCCGACGATGACGAATTTGAAATTGCTGTTGACTTCTCGCCGGACGTGTCAGAGTATATACCAAGTCCAGATCAACACAGACTTAGCAGGAGTCCATCAAGTTTTGGCGGAGACTCTGATTATTTAACAGCAGCTATTGAGAATATTACAAGAACGCCTTCGACTGTTTCTAATGTCTCCTCCGTATTCAAACAAATCGACTTCGTCGCATCACCTTCAATCATATATGAAGCTGCTAAGTTGACGGGCACACCTACATCTTTAACAAACACAAATACTACTGCGTCACCGGTTTCTGCCAAACCACGCGATATTAATAGCAGAAAAAAAAACAAAACGTTGTTTGAATCCTATTTTCAACAAAAGATCTTCTTCGTCACATATTCTGGAGAATGATATACAGTCTTCCATCGAAAATGAAGATTTCACAGACCTCGTTGGTTTGGACACAACTCTACAGCCTGAAAACAATTCAGATTCTATATTGACAGTCACTACAACTACTTTAGATGATGGTGATAATACCATAACAGCTATCTGCCAAAGTCCCGATATAAACTCAAGGCCTGAAACTTCTGCCGCAAGTGTAGACGAAGTTTCATCATCATTTTCTACTAATAAGCAGAAATTGTTGACAAGAAAACGGATTCGGAGTGAACAAGAACATCAAGATGTAAAGAGTAAGAAATTGAAGAACTCGGGAGAAAGCTATATGGGATGCAGATCTAAAAAAATATACGAAAAAAAAAAGATTACAAGAGGATGTAAATGCGCAAAAAAATGTGAAGAAAAATTTACATTGAGCCAGAGAGAAGACATTATGCAGCAGTATTATAGATTAGGAGATCATGAGCGGCAATGGCAATTTATTGTTAGTTACACGACAGTTGAGAAGGTCAAAAGAATCAAGTTAGATCGAAAGAATAATCGCACCCAAACCGTCAAATACTATTCTGATTTACAGAAAGAGAAAGTTCAAGTATGTAGGACCTTTTTTGCAAGCACTTTGTGTATTTCAAATCAGATAATTCATACCGCATTGGAAAAAAATAACAATAGCGAAGGATTACAAGATCTACGAGGACTACATCAGAACAGACCGCGCAAAATGCGCAATGATACAGAAGAAAGCATAGTCGATCACATTAACTTATTCCCAGCAGTGGAAGCTCATTATGTGCGCAAAGAAACGAACAAAAAATATCTTTCAGAACTACTTAACATATCTAAAATATATCGCCTATACAAGACCTGGTTCATACAAGAAAGTTTTGATTTTCCGATGGCTACAAAACGGCAGTATCAGACAATTTTTAATACCAGATTTAATTATTCTTTCTATAAGCCAAAAAAGGATCAGTGCTCTAAATGCGCTCTTTACCGCCAAGCTGATAACGCTACTCGAGAAACCTTGCAAGAAAAGTACGATCAACATCAGCGAAATAAAGAAAGAGTTCGACAGATAAAGAAAGAAGAAAAAGAATCTTGCAATCGATTGCAAACTACAATAGCTATATTTGATTTGCAAAAAGTGTTGAATATACCTCAATCTGCTGTTGGGGTATTCCACTACAAGAGAAAGTATCCTATTTACAATTTCACAATATTTGACGCCACTCAACGCAAAGGTTATTGCTACGTTTGGCATGCGCAGATTGCAAAAAGAGGAGCAATAGAAATAGGTAGTTGTTTATGGCAATTTCTTAATACAGAAAAACAGAGAGGCATTAAAAACTTGTCATTTTATTCTGATGGTTGCGCAGGGCAGAATAAAAACAGATTCATATTCGCTCTGTACATGTTTGCTGCCATAAAGCTTCAAATTAATATCACTCACAGATTTTTTGAGACTGGTCATGGCCAGAGTGAGGGCGATTCGATGCATTCTACTATAGAACGTGAGCTGAAAAACCAAGTTGTGTATAGTCCAGATCAAATGTACGCAATAATTACCAATGCCAAAGTAAATGGCGAGAAATATATTATTAAAGAAATGTTACAAAGTGACTTCTACGACATTAAAGAATTACTCGAGGACAAACACGAAAGATGATAAAGGGAAGAAAATAAAGTGGTCTAAAATAATGGAAATCAATGTAACCAGTTCAGAACCATCCATCTTGCGGTTTAAATATGATTTTGACACTGAGTATTCTAAGCTCAACATTGAACGCCAACAGAGATCCAAACGGAGTGCTAGACATGCTTCCAATACACCTAATATTAATAACAGTCCTGAATTAAAAATTGTATACACCGAGACTCTGCCAATACGTAAAGCCCTACATTCTGATCTCATAAGTCTTTGTAAATCAAATGACATACCAAGCTACTATCATGGTTTCTATGAATCTCTTAAATTTAATGATGAGGCAGAAGCACCAACTGATAACTGTGCTGATGAAGACTATTTTTTTTAAATATTGAGTAGTAACTAATAAGAAGACTTTTTTAAATTATAATATACTTTTGGATAGAAATTACTTAGATTTCGCTTATTTTTTATTTGGAATATTAGGTTTCGTGATTTTGAATGTTTACTCGAAGATGCCACTTAATTATGAAGATTTGAGTATGGAGATAGATAGATTAATTATAGACTGATTTATTTGAGAGTGACTTTATGTTATGTTTGTTTGCTTATGTTTTGTTTTCTTGAAAAGTATTATTTTTGTCATCCTCTTTGTTGGCTTTAAATGTTGGTCCCAAAATAAATAACAGTTGATTATAATTAAGTAGTTTAATTTAAATACCCAGAAAAAACGTCTAATTTACTCATATCGTAAATTCATTATGTGAATAATAACAAGAATAAGATGATAATATTACATTACCGACATTGCTGGAGAGTTCGTATATCGTAGAATAACATGACAGGACTATATTACAATATTCGTATGAATGAAGTTTAAATGAGAAAAAAATGATAAGTGCATGTTAGCAACACATGTTATTGTTAAATTTAGTCTATTCTTTTATTTCCTAAATATCTCAAGTTCAGTGGAATCTTTCAAAATTTCAACTTAGTATAGAGATAACACTAAAAATTAGCTATCATTTAAGCTAACTCCCAAGTTCCTACCTAGGACCCAAAAGAAGTAATCTTATTAAAACGGTTTTTTAATTTTCCTGTAAAGTTGTGATTTTGCATTTATCATTTTATTCTCCGGAGCCGGCGATATGACACTTAATTTATCCCTATTTTTTTAGTCGATTATACATCATTCAATTATTCTGTGTACTTAAAAAGCATTAACATTGTCAAAGTTACATTGTTAGCTTAAACATAATCAGTTTGAAAACTTGATGCTTTAAAGGGATTAAATCGAAAGTTTTATTCAGTTACGAGTTGAGCCATGGGAAAAAGTAAATACAAAGTAAGGAGCAAAAAGCCTCAACGACCTATTTACCATCAGTCCTTTCACGCAGTATGACCCATTCGTCATGAACTGTGACGATGTTATCGCACCGCCCTGCGGCGTCTTTCTGGATGCTAACTGGCCGCTCACGTGAAAAACAGAGGCTAATTTGAAAGCCCCGAGGCGGTCGGGGCCCCAGTATTTAGGACTTTCAATACAATGGGTCTTAAATATATGTTATCAAATTTAGATGCTTCTTCGTTTCTTAATTTCATTATAAATCTATCATTTACATAAATATCATTTTTATATATACAGTGTTTTTCCAGTACCTATAGAGTTTGGAGGAGATATGCCCATGTCCTACCTCCTATGTAGTGTATACTTCACCGGAGGTTTTTGAGTGTAACATGCCGTTGAGGTCCCGGTAGAATGCGACAGCGATCGCGGAGCCTCTGTAACGTGGCTTTGTAGGAACTACTCGAGGTGGTTTTAGTGGGCATTGCTCACCCAGTCTCTGAATAGCAGAGATTTTGGCGTGGGTCCAGTCCCACATACCCCTGCAACTTTTGAGGGGCTAGTGCATTTCCACCTCGGATATAAAAAAAGTACCGATAGAGTTTATTTCGTGCACATATCACACGGAAAAATAAACTAAACTACTATTACTAAAGTAAATATACATTTCCAACTTGCACGTAAATGTTATAAAAGATAAAATGTTATAACATCGAATATCAATTTATTACAACTTATTTAAGAAACAACGTGGACATTGTAGGCACAATTAGCCAATCGCGTCAGGGCCTCAAACACCAAACAGTAAAAGCGTCCCTGGCACATCCATCTCTCACATCTGTGTGCACTGCGGATTCCTACTTTGATACCAGACTGGCCTGCAGGTATTTTTCCCGTCGTTTACGTTAGTTCCCGTTTATTGTACGGCTCTATTAATGCCTATTGTGTGCAAGCATCACTTTAATAGCATTGATAGCTTTAAGCAATCGTTATAAATAGTTTCAATATTGTCTCGTATTTATTTATTATTTTATTTAATGGTTCATGGTCAATGGTTAAACCTCGAGTACATTTTTGAAGTCATGTATGAACTTATCCCGCCAGAATCCAAATAATCAATCTTTTACTCAAAATAATATTATCATTTTTAAGCGCTTTAACAATAGTTTCGTATCAACAATAAAAATTATATAGACATTTAACTTATTACAGCCGACGCAATTAACGAATGTAGATATGTTGAAAATTGCGCTACGCTTTTCTCAACAGCTGACGGTCACGTGTTAATTTTCCGTTAATTTTCATGTTATAGTGAAACATTTTGTAAAACACAATAAATTTTTAAATTTAGTCGACACTGGCATAGGGTAGTGACTGTATCGCCACGCTTTTACCCATATTCTAATTTTAAAAGAATCTTCGTTATTAACTTCTTATTCACGCTACAAACATAACAATTACGTATATATGATTAATTATCATATATAGCTACTTCTTTATTCATTGTAGAAAGTGTCAGGTGAAATATAAACGAAAACTCATATTACGTGCTGCGATTATTTAAGAGCGTGATGTTCCTTTTAGATTTAGTACTAAGCTCAGCATTTTATTGTAAACAGTATTGCTTAGGATAGCCGTTATTGTGACAAGTGCGAAATTAAACTAGACGAAAAAAAGATAATAAAATCTTGAAATATGAATAAGAAAAGCCTTGCACGGTATATGTATATCTGAAAGCTTTATAGTTCAAAAGTAAGTTAAACTTAGATATTTAGCGTTTTTTAACAGACTAAAAAGTCCTAAAACTGAATATGAAAACACAATTAATCATAATCATTTTATCAATAGATACAGATTTGTGCAAATATTGTAAAATATATTTAATCAACGTTAATATGGTTATATATTTGAATGTACGTACGTGTCTATTCTTCGCATCTTTAAATGAATAGTTTTTGTAAAAAACAAAATTGGCTTTCACTTTTTGTATTAAATCTACTCTTCATTAGTACCTACTGTAATATCATTAACAGAACTCCAGTGCTGGCCAGTGCAGCAATGCTTTATGAAGATATTATATGTATACTCCAGGAATTAATATTTTCAACTTAATAAAATGCTACTATGATGTATAGCTTAGGTCAGATTCTTTTTTATAACATTAATTCTCTTTTAATATTTAATATAATTGCAATCCATTTAACTCTTAAACAGATACGAAAGACAAACGAATCTTCTACACATAAATCTAACAAACGAGACTAAAACGTTGTTTCGATCCAATTAGCATCCACAAGTGAGAATAAACACTGTAATATTTACTCAACAGAGGACAAACTCCGTTCAATTTGCAGGTGTCTTTGATCTCGTGTCTAGCGCAAATCTTACAAGCACATTGTTTACATGCACAAAGCGTTTACTTTAAAATACAGAAATTCAATTTTTTTAAACGTTACAAATAGTAATATTTACAATAAGTTTATTAGTTAATCGTCTGTTTCTACACTTTATCTATGTTTCAACTTTCATATTATATATTAGATGCGTGGTCTAGAGCGTAACGCACTTGGCGGTTTCCGCTGATTGTAGATTATATTTCACGCGAAAACATAGCTAGAAAAGCTGACGCAGAAATTGGTCAATCCTCATTGGGATACAAAACTTCACACACGAATAACATCATTAATTTAAATCAGACCAAATGTAGTTTAAAAAAAAACATTATACATAAACCAGAAAATATGACATAATATCTAACTCAATATTTATATAATATATAATTTAACTTCAATTACCGCCATCACATACTAATTATCATTTCTTCACTAATATATCTATTAAGAAATTCATTTAGATTCTAAATATAGCAAGCTAAGACTAGCGGGCCATAAACAGACAAAGCAAAGTTGTGATGAAGTTCTATCTCTTACTTAACAACTGTACGGTACGGTGAATAATACTTCTACTAAAAACATAATATTATTTAATGTCTTTACGAAACATGCCTTACAGAATATATGAACCATTAAATAAAAATACTAATAGGGCAATGGGGTTTAGATATAGAACAGAAAATAAAAAAAACAGCCAACATATACATAGGTATATATTACTAGCAATTAATTTAAGCGCGCATCAGTTACGATACAGTACTAATGCATTGTTTGCGTGTTGTACTCGGATGAACAGCCTTACAACCCGATTACATCATATTAATTTCGCTTTATTCAACAAAGGATTTCATTTTATTTTATATTGCACACATAATTAAATATAACATAATAATTAAACCAAGTCTAGTTCCTACATCTTAGATACTATTCGTAATTGATACAAGCCATAGAATTCAAAGCCATTTTGTCAAAAACATATTTGATATTAACCATAGATTAGCCTAGTAGAAATTGCGATTAATGTTATGCATTTACAGCATTAAGCAGTGTTGGCCTAGTGGCTTCAGCGTGCGACTCTCATCCCTGAGGTCGTAGGTTCGATCCCCGGTTATGCACCAATGGACTGTCTTTCTATGTGCGCATTTAACATTCGCTCGAACGGTGAAAATATTCTTCTTAATTTACATTTACTGCCAGTTCTGAAACCAAGGGCGTTGAACGAATAAGAAGAACTCGACAAGGATATTTTACAAGCACCTGCAACCGTAATATTATGCACCTAATCACATGTATGTAATATAAAAAATAATGAATACATAGCCGTACACCGATCTTAATCCGAACAGTCACCATAAGTAGCACCCGCACACGAAATATAGAGATCTGTCCGAAAAAGAAATAGGTCTATAATTTGGCGGAATTAAAGCGCAAATCAGATAATGACTGCTAATTAAGCCACTTCGTCTAACTGCTGACGAGATATCATTTATGGCCAAACCAAATTAACTTCAGAAATGTCTTCCATAATTTCCTTTTTACGTTTTTATTGTGCTTTAATTGCACTAAGAATTTATTTATCTCCAAAGTAAAGAATATTTCGGTTTTCAGAACTTGACCTCACTGTTAATTAACCTTTCATTAGAATTGGTTTAAAAAAAATCTCTACAACATATAAAAAAACAATTACAATTTCGGCAGGGCGTTGAAAAGTAAATTCTTATAATCAAAAAATTTTACCAGAAACTAAAAACATGAAGAAATAAAACGAGTTATTTACTTACATATTTTAATAACCAAACGAAAATGGTTTTAGACATTATGCCGTAAACTGATAGTACTTAATTAATTAAATATATTTATTTCTGTAGCTTAGAATTTATTAAGATTGGCGTTTAGTTGAAGAGTGCTTATCACCAGATGTAATCCCACAAGTATTCGCTTTCATCGCTTCTCGCTGTCGTGGGTTTGAAAAATTATAATAATTTTAAGGACGGAATTTTATACATGTGCGTGAATTGTCGCGCAATAGGTGGCTTTTGACTTCACAAGTGTTTCCCCTAAGAGGGTGTAACGAATAGGTATATGTTTATTAAATTTAACCAGTAATGGAACGCTTTAGATAACTTGTTTAAAGATGTTTCGATAGGAATATCTATTTAATAGAAAATGATATACTCTTAGGAAAAAAAATTACATTTGATATATTCTCAAGCCGCCAAGAGCGTTCGCGTTGTCAGTCTTTTAAGAATTGCTACACTTTTTTTAAAAGACCAAATTGATCATATTTAAAACAAAACTTGGATTGCCTAGAATCGCTTTGCCCTGCTAATCATATAACTCGTTATCTAAAACATTTCACTTTGTAGTACAAAATTTGTATTTATGTCATCTGCAAAATTTCACAAATATTTAAAATTACAATATTTTGTTCATACCATGCTCATATTAAAAATGCATAGTGATTCCATCCATTTCATAATAAATGAAATTAAATATTTATTTACCTTGTTAAATATGCCAGTGATGCAATAATTCCACTGTTTCAATATCATGTACCTATGTGTTTATTATTTTATTGCTGTATATTTTTGGATGATATTGCATAAAATAATAATAAACCAGCGGAGCAGCCTTAAAGGATTTTGGACTCAAATAGTACGCTATTTTTAGGTACGACAACTGTCAATTTCACACGTAAAGAAAAATAGTATTGTGGGTAGCCAGGATTTTTTATGGAACTGCCTTGCGATTCTGTTACTCACTTTTCGAACTAACACAGCGGTTTTCACAGCGGCGGTCGCGCTCAAATCAGTCATGAAACAGTCATTTTATGACTTGGCATTCTGATAAGGAGGAAGCTTGTAGTTTATTGTTCGAAAAGTGAGTTACAGAATCGCAGGGCAGGGGGCAAACGGACAGGAGGCTCATCTGATGTTAAGTGATACCGTCGCTCATGGACACTCTCAATCCCGAGTGCATTACCGGCATACTAGCAACGTTGGTAAATAATACTAACAAGTATTATAACAGCAGTACCGTACATATTTATTCACCTGTCTGCTCTCATTAAATTCTGCCTCTGAAACTCCAACCACAATCAAAAATTTGTACGTAAAATATTGAGTTTTTCACAAAGCGCTTTTTTAATAAACTTCAAAGATTTCATAAGGCATCAAAAATAATCCTAATCGTCCTTTTGTGAACAAAAGGCCGAGTAAAGCTTGTGCTACGGATAAAGACGCAATTATAGCACACTCGCGTTTTGTGCTCGCTTTTTGAATACGTCTGAGACTCGATTCTTTAGTATATATTATATAAATATAATATAATCGATAATATATATGATAATCGCAGCTTCCCATGAGTAGAATGAATAGTATGTTCTTTTCTAATATTTTATAATAGGTGTGCAATGGTGAGCATTAAACCTTGAGCTTGTGCGTTTGAACCCCAGTTGCCAATTTCTTTCTATGTGTGTGTCGAAAAAAAAATCCTGACCTTCAGTATACTGAATAAATAGAACATGTTTATCTCTGTATATGCGTCTAACGGTTGACTCACACAAGACCACACTAATAGTAATAGTGTTAAGTAGACAATATGGATTCCCACTTTTCCCTAATAATCAGTGCATCCCGTACTGTGAAGAATAAATTAAATGTAACACAACAAGGGCGGCGACATCTAAGAAATGAATTATTTAGTTAAGGGGGCTAACCCCAAGTTTCAAGAAAACAAAATTAATTGTCCACAATTTGTAACAAGATGAATCACAGCAAAATAAGAATTTACATGTAACCTCTGTAATTAAAGACTAACGCACAAGCTTAAAAGCCAAAGATGCTTTCGATTTTCGGCAAAAAAAATGTATTCCGGATAAAATACGGTATAGCGCTGGAGGGCTCAGGAAATTTGAATTAAAAAATTTGAAAAAAATTGAATTAAATAAATTTAGATGAAAAATATTTATGTGACTCCAAAATATACAATAAGTATAAAAATAATTATAACGTTTACGTTATGAGTTAGTTTTTTTTATCAAAAAAAAAAACAAAACATGTTCCATGTTCATATACAAAAGTATGAAGAATTTGTGAGGAAAATTTATGAATAGTTTTTTATAAATATTTATTTACATTTATTTTAAAAATTGATTCAAGAAAGCCTGAAGCACTCGAGATAAATCACGTACAAAAATAGTCCTTATATATCTGATAAAGCTATAGATCTACGCCCTAGCGACGTAATGAGGTTAAGTGGCGTTCTTGCGGATTTTCCGGAGAGCGCGCCTACTAATCATTTTAATAAATAATCAAATTATCTACTAAGTGTAAATCTGACGTGATTTCACTCAATTTACTTCACCTATGAAATTGAATATCTAATTTATTTAAAAAAAAAATATTTTTCCAATAAACGTTATTTGACAAGGCTCCTTGGCTCCTTATCCCACTTAAACTACATTCAATATATATGTTTTTAATTAATTTTGTTGATATTATAATGGGTAATAAGAATTCTACTTACCGGATTGAGAGAAAGACA